TTAAGAAGTTTCTTAGAGGGGGGCGAGAGAGACAGTACAGCGAGGAAGCCTTGTACATGGCTGGCCCAGGTTCGAATCCCAGCACCCCAAAAAGTCCCTGAGGCCTACCAGGAGTGATGTCTGAGCACAGTTGGGTGTGGCTTAAAATCGAACAAAGTCTATTAGAAGCCCCATCTTGGGAAGGTTCCACATTCAAGTATGAGCCACCCACAGCACCCATGAGTCCAAAGTGCTGAGCAGTCCAGAAGTTCCTCTTTGTTCTCTGCCCTGCCATGGTGCCTATAAGTTCTACACCTGCTTGTTTCCAGGGAACAACTGGTCACCACAGACCGTAACCGAGTGATTAAAGCCTCCCTGGTACTGAGCAGTGTAACCCCCGTGCCGCTGGGAGGGCTGCTCTCAACCGTGAACTCCGGGTCACAGGGGCCAAGCGTGTGCACCTGCATCAAAGCATGCAGAGCTGATGCTCAGAAGCCGGACAGTCCTGGCCACAGGGCAGGGAGCAGGAGGCGACGTGGGTGCAGAGAGAAAGGGGAGAGCGTGTGTAAAAGGGGGTGGGAGGGAGAGTGGACAAGAGGAGGGAAAGCAGACCAAATGGCCACAGGCTGAGTGAGCGGTTACTGTGCCCAGTTCCTCAGCACCACGAGCGACTCATGGGCCACGTGGCTTTCGAGTTGGCAGAGCGATGCCACGTGCTTTATCTCACCGGATGTCAGGCCCGGGCCTGATACTGCTCCCAGGGATGTGAGGCTGAACCTGGACGGCTCCAAATCAAGGAGTTATGAGTAGCAGAAACGGTGCGACCCAAGGTTTCAGCCCCTGGGCCCTGCGCTCTGGCTGGAGCTGCAACGCTGTCCCGGGAGCTGATCTGGGAGCAACTCTGGCTCCTCGTTACCGTGGGCCATGGGGCTGCAGCCTGGCTCAGGCACTCTGCAGCAGGAACGGCCTTTAAAGCAACCAGCACTCACTGCTCCCTCCATGTTAGGAAAACTCGAGAGCTTAGTAATTGTGTGTGTGTGCGCCGCTCGTGTTTGTGTGTGTGTTTGATGAGATTCTGTAGTTTACAGTGCTCTCAATGATGATTCCTCATGCACATAATTCCAACACCACATCTACCACCAGTGTACCCCTTCCTTCTCCCGAGGACCCCAAAAGCCCCATCTTTCAGTTGTGGGTCTCAATTCTCCCACTGTTGTCTCTGGGCTTTTGTTGCTACCTTGTTCACCTTAAAATCCAACATATGGGAAAGACCTGGTGGCCACTCTGAAGCTGACAACTGACACCAAAGGAAGCTGCTCACGGTGAGGGGGCCCTACAGAGGAGAAGCACAGATGTGCTTTCTCAAAACAGAATTTCTCCCTGGGAGAAGTTGATGCCCCCATTGCTTGAGCAAAATTCGACTGCACAGATTATTCCTGTCCAGAATCCAACCCCCAAATACTCGATGGGAGGGTGGATGAGCTCAGAACTCCAAATGAAAATGCAGAAAACGTTGCAGAAAAGAGTTCGAGAGCATAATCCAAGATTGGTGAGCCTAGATCAGTAAAACAGTTCATGCTGGCAGGTCCCCAAAACCTCAAAACCCAAACAGTATGTTGGGGGCAACTTTCCCCAGTTAGTGGGAGGGTTGGGATGACCACTCCATCTTACTGTGCCCCTCAAAATGTTCCTATACAGAGGTAATGAGGTCTCTCAGGGGAATGTGAGCCAATCTGGAGGTCCGTGAAGGAAGTACATCTGGCCTCCAAAATGACTTCAAAGAACCCAGCTATGAACACCACACATTCCTAACTAGGGCACTGGTTCAGATCTGGGACCCAGATACTTGTCACATCTAATCTAACAGAAAGGCAGAGAACATGTTTAACCCAACAGCAGATAATTAGAAAGAAATGACTCTGGCCAAGAGGACCCATTTGTAATAATGAATTCAAATCAGATTCATAGAAGCTATAACTCAGTCATCGTGAGTACCGCCTTCATTTTCCATATCATCTCTCGTCCAAGCAGGCAGAGTAACTCGATATCCAAATCATTATTTTTACTTCTCAAGGAGCCCTGAGAAGGAGTGACGAGGAAGATAATGTTACCTCACTTAGAGAAGATGAGTGTCATCCACGCTCCAGTGTTCAGTTCAACGGACTTTGTGTCAGAACCCTTCCTCGTGCTCCTCCACGAGGAATCAAAGGCCCACCCCGACAAAGCAAGTCTCCAGGGAAGGAGATGCTCCTTCTCTGAGCCCTGCAAAGTTCCACGGGAAAATCTCAGGAGGACCCAGCTTCCTGGGGACCTCTCCTGATCTGAGGCACCTTTGACTCCTACATGGCTTCATGCAAGCGTTGGACTTGGGATGCGAAGACCCAAGTCCCGTTGGAAAACTTGTTCTGTCGGAGGAAGGGTATGAGAACTATTCGAAGTTGGCTTCCCCTCCTCCCCACTTAAAGCCTTCTGAACACTACAAATTCCCAAACACACAATTCTCAAAGAATACACTATTAAGGAGATGACAGAACACTCATACTTACAAACTGCAATCGCTTTGACGCCAAACAAAAGACACACACACACACACACACACACACACACAAAATCAAACACGATAGGTTTCACTGGCGCTGAAGCTTTCAGAGCCCAGAAGCATGCATGCTCCCTTGGAGAAGTGACAAATCCGTTTCTCACCAAGATGGGCACATGGTAAGCTATTAGTCAAGAACCCGAAAGGGGCATGGGAGGGGAAACGAGATTGACACTCTCCAGACGCTAACCTGTCACTCTCCGACACTCTCCAAACTGCATAAGGGAGATATTTATGCTGTTTAAAAGAACATGCTAACAGTGAAATCAGAACCGTATAAAACTCAGGCCGTAATTATAACAAGATATTAAGTGAAGAAGGCGAGAGATGGGGATGAAGACCAGGCAGAGGCGTTTAAAATGAAGCATCTGATAAAAATGAAGGGAGAGGGGGAAGAGAGGAACTCAAGAGGTTACAGAGAGATGAAAACGTGGCCAACATGCTCCATTTGTCCATGCCAAGGAAAATTATACAGAAGCGGAAAGGCGCGATCAGCTAAAGACATAAGCTTCCTCTCTGACAATCAGGTGGCAAGTATACCAGCGACGTTCGAACATGGGAGGTTTTATTTTCTCCGCAAAGCATAAAAAGCAGCTCTTCAGCTTTTTTTCTGGTTTTATTCCCATTCCCATTCCCTCGTCCAGCTGCTAAACATTAGAATTGAAGATCATGAAAACAGGCCAGCAGCTAATAAAAAATAAAGTAATAAAAATAAAAGGAGGGCCAAGCTGGCCCTCTGCTGGTGGAGTTGCCTCATTACATCCCAGGCCAGCTTCGGGCCTTTTAAGTTTCCTCCCTCCCCCCCTTTACTTTCAGGGGGCAGGAAAAGGTCAGGGGAGCTGCGATGTCTGAGCGCAGAGATCTTTTGGCTCCCAGTTAAAGAGACTAGTAAAGAGAGGTAGGTAAGGTAAACAGAGGCAACGGGGTCAGTTTCCCCGAGAGCCATCAGTATGCCCCGCATTTTCCTGTTCGGCGGCGTTTTGCAGTCCAGGACCATGAATTGTTCTGTTCTGCGGGCAGCAGCCAACATAGGGGCTATAATCGGGGAGTGAACTCCTGAAACTTCCCCGGGACAGCTGCACTGGTTGGGACAGGCTGACCCGGTGGCCTTTAGCCCCCTGCTCTCCCAGAAGGTGGTCTGCCTTCCTGGGTTCTGGATCTGATATCTGGTTCAGAAGGAGACACAGCTAAGAACCAGCCGGAAGAGCTAGCACCCCCTAAAGCAATGAGAATCTGAGCTGAGCCGGGGGGATCCAGAGAAACAGCCGTTCTTTCCATGCCTCGGGAGAAGCCCTCTCCCACCCAGACCCCGTCCGACCACCGGAGCAGGAAGGGAAAACACTCTCAGGCTGGGAGAAGCCCGAGTTCTCGGCGGCTTGTCTGGGACAGCATGCTTTATATTCCCCATAACCATCAAAGTCACAGACAGGGCAAACGCGTTCACCCTGTGTGCACGGCGAGCCAGAGTTAAGCTGGGACGTCCCTGAATCTGTCTCCGAGGACCAGAACTGCCTCATTAAAGGGATAAAAGATGATATCTGCTGAGCTGGTGGAATGTGGTGGCTGCATTTTTATTAAAGTCTCTGCGGCGGCAGGCCTGGTCCCCAAAGGTTCATACTCCCAGAATCTCCCCCACCACACACACACACACACACACACACACACACACACACACCACATACACACTCATTGCCCCGCCCCCCCCCACCCCAGCCATCCCGGGGGTCTGCCAGGAGCCTGGAAGTAGTTCTCCATAACTCATTACGGTGAAATACAAACCTTTTCTATTGTGCTCTTCGCACCAGAGCAAGACAAGGCAGGTAAAAGCTACCTGTCTCCACTCCTGGACTCCGGCCGGCAGGGGGAAACTGCCGCGGCGATTCGCAGTTCGTAACAGGGGGCAGGCACACGTGTGTCTTGGGTCCGCGGCTAGCCAGACACTACTAACCATGGCTATCACTGCGACTGGCCAGAGGCTGGAATGTTCCAGATGTCTGGAGCGCATCACAGGCCGTCCTGGACTTGACAGCGTCGCCAATGCGCCCCACTCCCACCCCCAGTCCCCCGCTCTTAGGCTAAAGGCCCCCAGTGTTGCAAACCCAGCGCCCGTTGTCGGCCTCTTGGAACCAAAGGCCACGCGAACCGAGCCCAGCTAAGGCCGCGGACACGAGAGTTCCCGGCACGGCCCTGAGTGCTGGCGTGTGGCATCCAGGACCAGAGCACCCGGCGCAGACCACCAACCTCGTCCACAAGAACGTTGTCCACCGCCACGGAGCCCGGGGGCCCGTCTCCACTCGGGGCCGGGGTGGGCGGCCCTGCGCGCGCTCTGGGCCTCCGTGAGCGAACCGTCCGATCTTTGGCCCGAGCCCCCTGACCCCAGGAATCCCCTGCGGGGCCAGTCCCCCGCCGAAGGCCAGCTCCCTACCTGAGGGTGGCGCTCTCCCCCTGCCGGACCGTCACGTTGTCCATCGCTTTGGGGAAGGTGGCATCTCCGCTGCGCACCGGCACTCCTGTGGGTATAAGGAACAGCAGCCTGAGAGACACGACCACGAGGCACTTCCAGGGCTGGAGCAGGTACCCACTGACCCCCATCCTCGCCAGCCGCAACTTCCCAGAACTCCGGCGGCGGGCAGCGGCGGGGTCCGGGTGCGCCCCGGCCCGCGCGGGGGCGGGTCTGGGAAGGGCCGAGGGAGGCCGGAGGGCGCGCGCCGAGCGGGCGGGCGGAGCGGCCGGGGACCGAGGGAGCCAGACGCCGGCCGGGGCGCGGGGCGCGGGGAGGAGGAGGAGGAGGAGGAGGAGGAGGCGCAGTCGGGGCTCTCCGGAGCCCGCCGGTGCTCGCTCGGCTCCTGCCGGACCCGGTGCCCCCTCCCGCCGCCGAAAGGCGCTGCCTGCGCGCTCCCCGGGGGAGGCGGCGGCCGCGGGGCGGGGAGCGCGGCGGAGGCGCAGGGCTGAAGGTCACCGACGCCTCGGCCCCGCCTCGCCCGAGCAGATGCCACTTGCGTCCTGCCGGGCGCTGGCACCAAAAGTTTATGGCGCGGAGGAGCCAGGCGAGTGTCTGCGGCGGCGGCGGGCGCGGCGCTGCGAGGCGGCGGCCGGGCGGAGCGCAGAGCCCGGCCGAGCGAGCTGGCGCATCTGGGCGCCGGCGGCGTGTGCGCTCGCTCGGGAACCCCGCCCCGGGCGCCCGAAGTTGCTCCCGCAGCCCGCGCCCACGCTGGCGGCCGACCGGCCCGCAGGCTCGGGGCGCGCGGGCAGCGGGGCTGGCGGCGCCCCCGCCTCCTCCTCCTCCTCCGGGGACGCGGCGCACGGGCCGCGGGGACGCGCGGACGCCACGCTCGGCGGGAGCGGCCGCGGCCGCGGGGTTGTCATGGCAGCGGGTCGGCGCCCACCGCGCTGGACCCGGGAGCCTCGTGGGGGGGGGGGGCCGGGCTGCGCCGAGAGACCCCCCGCGCGCCGCGCGCTCGCCCGCGGGGCCAGGACCCGGGCCGGGTCGGCTCCGCGCGCGCTCCCCGGGGCCCGCCCGGGCGCCCTAGCTGGGGGCCAGGGGCGAGGACCGTAGGGGGCGAGGACGGCGGGGGCACAGGCCCCCGGGCCACCCCTCCGTCCCTCCAGGTACCCGGAGCAGAACTTCCCAGCGCGCCCTGGTGCCCTGAGTCCGGTTCCCACGCCTGGGCGCCGAGCCTCTGCGCTGCGCCCTCCCCGCCCGACGCAGCGCGGTGCCTGCCTCGGAGCACGGAACCGTGCAAAATCCCTTTCGGAAACGCACGCGCCCGCCGCTCAGGCGCTAAACCCGGGCCAGGCCAGGCCGACCCCTTCTGCTCCTACCAGGTACAACGCCTAGAATCTCACTGTCGGAAAGACCCCCTCTTCCTCCTCCCACCGCCCCACCAACAAAGTATCAGGGACAGTCTTCACAAACTCTGTCTTTCTGGGCGCATCACAAAGTGTTTTCTGGACCATGTGGGATGCACTTGGCTCTACGACTTTCTCAGATCTCCTTAGGGCAGGCGACGTGCTTAGATTAATTTCCTGCCACTTTTTTAACCACTCCCCGCGATCCCAGGTTTGCCTTGGGTCTGTGGCGGTGTTCGCCCTGCTCCCTTGGGTGAGAAACTCGGGGTTCTTCTATCCTTGTACGGTCGCTCCTGCCTTTGCTTCAGGGCATTCAAGGATTCCTTTAGCTGCTGGCAGATAGAGAGGGGGGTCTCCTCTCAGTGATGGGGGCTGGGGACAAATAAACACTGCAAAATGGTAGCGCCTTCCTCCCCGGACACTTTTAGGTCTAAAGGTTTTAATCAACACATCATACCTTAAGGAATAAAGAATCCTTGTCACTAGCCATGAATAGATTGGTTCTTAGGTTTTAATATGAAAACACACGTCGGTTCCTTTCCAGAAAGCAGAGCGATAATAAAGGCTGGTGTGAATGAGCAGACCATTTATCTGACACTTGCTTTCTTTTTGTTTGGGGGGTTGCGGCAAACCCAGCTAAGCTCAGAGCGAGCGTCTTGGGGCTTAGGGTAGAACCCAGACTTCCTGCATGCAGAGAGCATGCACTCCGCCCTTGGCGATATTTCTCTGCCCTTTCCTCTGTCTCTACAGCCATTGCTTTCTCTCTGCTCAATGAGCATCTCTCTGGCCCTCCACCCTGTGTGGCCCTGGCTACACAGGCTGAGAGGAGTTCCATTGTCCAGGGCTGAGGGCAGAGAGAGCAGCTATGACTCTCAGTTTGGATGTCAGAGGTGTTTCCTTAGGGTCTGCTTGTCCCTGGCTTTTCCCTATATGCATTTGCGCATAATCCTCTAAACTTTCACCAATCCCTGTCCACGGTTAAATTACCAGCCTGGAAAGGTTTCTTAGTGCATCAACCTAGGGAGGACTAAGAACCAACATCCACAACTTCCCAATGTCTTTGGTTCTGGTTGACTCTTGATTGGGGTGGGGTCTGGCTACCACACTCCTGCCCTTGGATACGGGTGCACCTCGGGCATTTCCTACCCAATGCATCTGTTGTCCCAGTGCTTCTCAAGGGATGCCAAGGGAGACCATCACTCAACGCTAGGCCAAGTCGTCATGAAGGAGTGCTCCAGGTGGAAGTTACCATGGAAAAGAAAGAAGGAAAGAGCACGAGGTTCCAAGAATGGCTGGGGAAAATCAGAAGAGAGGGACCGCTGGAAAGATCAGTCTTTCCATGCTGTTGGCCTTTGCTGTAGGCAAAGGCCTACAGCATGCTTTGCGTGTGAGAAGCCCGGGTTCCATCCCTGACTCCACCACAAATAATCTCTGAGCACAGAGCCAGGAGCAATCTCCACAAACCACTGGGTGTGGTCCAAAGAAACAAAGAAATAGGTTGACTTACGGAATCAAATATTCTTCATAAACTCTGCTCTTGGAAGTTGGCAACTGGGCAACAGGGCATAGAAAGGATGGCTCCGTCCAATACTGATAGCTGAATCATGGTGTATTTCTGTTCTCAATTTTTGGAGGAAATGCCGTACTATTTTCCATAATGACTGCACTGATTTACTTTCCCACCAATAATGTATGAAGATTCCCATTTCCCAACTTCCTTGTCAACTCTTGTTTACTGTTGTTTTGATAATGACCATTCTAACTCGTGTGAGGCGATATCTCATCGGGGTCTGATTTGCATTTCCCTAATGATAAGTGATGATGAGCATCTTTTCATGTGCCTGCTGGCCATCCGTATGTCTTCTGTGGAGAAGTGAATGCTCAGATCCTTGCCCCTTTTGCTTAATCAGGCCCTTTGTGTTGCTGTTGGTGAGTTTTAAGAGTTCTGTATAAAGTCTGGGTACTTTAAACCACGTAACAGCTAACCCCGTCCGTTCACACCACATAACCACATAACAGAACACCTGTTAGCTGTTATTGGTGTGCAAATACCTTCTCCATTCGGTAAGGTGTCTTTTTTTTATTATTGTCTTGAACTTATTGTTTTAAGCTTGGTGTCATTCTGATTATTTTCACTCTGGTTTCCCTTGTGGTTGGAATGAAATTTCCAAAGACAGACAGAAGCCCAGAGTCAAGAAGCTTATTGCCCGTGTTTTCTTCTCTAGTCTCAGGTATTTCATATAATTTTATTGCATTTTGCGTGGCTTGGTTTCAAATAGTGGCCTAAAGTTACTTTCTCGGGCATGTGACTGCCCTATTTTCCCTGCACTATATATTCAAGGGACTTTCCAACTTGGCTTATTGAACACACCAAAAGCTGACCCACTGTGCACTTTCGCTCATTTATCACATGTCATTCACAGTATTTCTGAGTTCGCAATTATGTTTCAGTGTTCTGTGTATCTCTTTTTATGCTGATGCCATGCTGATCTGATAACGATTACTTTGTGGTGTGTTTGAAGTCAGGGAACGTGATATTTCCATTTCATCCCCCTCAATATTATTTAATATTGTAAGGTGTTTTGCCACTGAAATAAAGTTTAGGATTTTTTTCTGTATTTTTGAAGGATGTCCTTAGGATTTTAATAGGATTTACCTTGAGTTTGTATTTAAATTTAAACAATATTATTTTTCCCACCCACCAGTATACAGTGTATTTCTTTTCTATATTATATTTCTATCAACAGTATTTTATAATTTACAACATACACATATTTCATCTCCTGGGTAAATATGATCTTGGGCAGCTTGTTCTTTTGAATACCATTGGAAATGGGATGGTTTTTCTGACCTCTCTTTCTACTAGTTAATTCTTTGCATATAAGAAAGAAATGCACTTTTGAATATTGATTTTGTAATCTGATATTTTACTATATTCATTTACTATGCATAATATTTGTTTTGAATCTGGCACTTCATCTGTGTGTGTATATATATGTATATATACATGTATGTTATCATGCTATCTGTAAGTAGTGATAGTTCAACTTGGTTTTACTTTCTAACTGAAGCCCCTTTGTTTCATTTTCTTTACTAATAACTCATGCTCAGATTTCCAATGTGATGTTAAGTAAAAGAGGTGGTGAGAGTGATCATGTCTGGGTTGGTCCTAATCTTAAGGAGGTGCTTTCAAATCTTCATCGTTGAGTACGACGGTAGCTGTAGGTTTGTCATATTTTGTTCAGTTGTATTTATTCTGTTCCCTTATCATGGAGAATATTTTTTAAACCATAAATGGATGCTGAATCTTGTCAAATGTCTCTTCTGCATTTATTGAAATGCTCATATGATTTGTATCCTTCCTTTAGTGTATGGCATTAATTGATTTTCAGGTTGAAAGAGCAGGAACATCCGGAAATAAATCCCACTTGATTGTGGCCTATGGCATTTTTGATGTATTGCTGTATTTGGTCTGCTGGCGTTTTGTGGAGAATATTTGCATCTGTATTTATTATACATTAGTGTGAAGTTTTCATTCCTTATGATGTCCTTGTCTGGTTGTGGAATTAGGGTTATCTGTGCCTCATAACTGTATGTGGGCTCTTTTCTTCTTTTTCATATTTTTGGAAGATTTTGTGAAGGTCAGATATTTGACTTTGAA